TGAGTCTTTTGAGATAAACACATTTTACGTATTATCAGTGAAAGTTTTAGCAATAACTCATCATACGTTTCAGGTTGGCTGGATTCTGAGGATAACTTTTCATTTACTAGTGCCTGTTTTTTTTTCTAGTACATAATATCACGCATTATCTACTTTATCATAACCACCACTATTATCTTCATCATTATCAGAATCTGGAAGCGTGTTTTAAAAATTTATAGATATAAGAGGCTTAAAATAAGTCTGATTAAAATTAGATTATGCTGTCTGTCTATTGGGACAACTGCCTTTACTATGACCAGTTTCTTTACAAATATCGCATTTATGTATATTTAGTTTTTAGAATTGATTTGTTAGTTGATTTACAGCATTACAAGTTTCATTTATCCTCTCTTCTACTCTATCAATTCTAGTAGAGACATTGCTTCTCTGTAGGCGAGATCTTTGAAAAGGTTTTACAGGATAATCAAAATTCAAATCTTTCTTGTTAAATATATCTACTTCTTTTAAGTATTTGGCTACATAATAATTCTTGAGATCTTTCTCTATTTTCAATAAAAATGGTGGACCTCTCGGCTGTCTAACTAGTTTAATAGTTTGTGGAGTAGGTACTTGCACTTGTTGAGTCATTTGAGATTGTAATTTTGTAACTTTTTTTACTAATGCCTGGTTTTCAGTTTTTTGTTACGCCAGTGCGTTTTGAATTGCTTTTTGTATATCTTCTAAAGAAATTCCATGCTGTTGAGGAGCTGAAATAGGTGAGAGTTCATATATTTTTCAAGATGCTCAATTAGGTACTAGGTGGTTAGATATTCTATTTCTTTTATGTTTAGCTATTCGGCGTAATTCTATCTCATAAAGCTTTTTAGCTAATTCAGCCAATGGTAAATGTTCACCAATATCCTCAACTTTTTCAAGCCATGGGAGTGGAAGAGCATCTAAGAACTTTTTATATAATTCTTTAGGCCTATAATTAGCTTGTCTATCTATTCATAATATTTTTCTATATAATTCATCTATAATCATGTTTTCCTTTGTGATTATTCCATACATTATATTCTGAAACTCCTCTTCCACTGTAGGGAAATGAGTTTTTAGTCACCATATGGCTTGATCAAATTGAATATCTACTACAACTACTGTAGTTCTATTACCAGCATTTAGTGTATTTACTGAAAGGTTAGTAGAACAACTTTCTGCTACACGCTAATCTTCATTCTAAGAATCTTCTACAGTTCTCAATTTGACTATTGTATTTCCAGATTGTCTAAGCATTTCATTTAATCTATCACTACCTATCTGGATAGCTATACGTTCATTTACAACTACTAAATTAGCTTGTCCTATACTATCAGTTAGATTAATTAGCTCCCAATTTTGCTTTGTTGTAATTTTTTCATCAAACTATTCCAAGGTCCTTCCTCTCATATATTCTCTTAAATGTCCTATTGCCTGAGCTCTTCCGTTGACCCTTATACCTGCTAGATTTATACCACAATTCTACAAGTCTATTCTAAGTTATGCAAGAAAGTCTGGGATACTATTGTTCTAGTCAAATCATGGATGAGGTATTTCTGCTATGTTTATTTGATTTGATGGATTATTCTGAAGTGCCAAAATTTGTCCCTACAAATTTAAAATATTCTGGTGTTCTGCTTGAGTCTTATTTTTCCATTTCTTATATCATTCATAGAGTCTATCTCAATTATATTCTAATAAACCTATATCCCTCTACTTCGCTGTAGGTGGTAAGTATTTCGCTGATACAATAATTGTAAGGCAAATTTTTCTTGTACCAGCACACCTATACAGGCTTATTTCTTGCCATATTACCTATCATTCTATTTACCTGATTTTGAGCATTAGATTAATATTGATAGAGATCACTAATAACATTAGTCATCCTACCTTTAGTAAGTTGTCTTCGTATAATTTTATTATTATGCTCGACTTCTGCATTATAATACCTTTATTGTTCACAGACTAAATCCTATTGCAAGACATTATATTTTTGACAAATTTGTTTTGTTGTCCTTTTTATTTGATATGATATCTATATGTATTGCTCTATTATCTACAAAACTATCTATAGTGTTTGCTAGTTCTATAATTGTGACTATATTATCATCAGAATTATACAAGTCTAGAGAATTCCCTCGTTTTTTTATGATGAGATAATTCTGATCTGACATCGCAATTTTTCAACTTGTTCCTCAGATTCTACTAACCATTCTTTTAAACTAAAAATATATTTTTCCTTATCTTGCATATTTTTTCTAGCTTGATATAGCTGACTTTTTAGAGTAGAGATTTTAGATTTTAACTCTATTATCTCCTCTTCTGAAACATTTTCAAGACTAAAGAAGTGATCCATGAATTATAATCTGTACAGATAACACAAATATCCAAATAGACAGATCATTTTTATGTGTTACAAATTTATGCAAATATCTGTGGATTATTTGATGAATATCTGTGAATACAGTCAGACCCCTATATAGTTATCAAGTTAGTTTCATCAAATTTAGTGATTATATAAAGGTGTGACTATATAATAAAACCTTTATATAATCACCTTTATATTATAAATCATGTGGAGTGACTATATAAAAGTTAATAGTTTAATTCAATAGTATAATAGATTAAAATAAAGCATATAAAATTTGATTTATTAAGAATTATGAAAATTTTATACAATTATCCATTTTTATTTATTTCTTTAATGTCTAATTACTAAAAAAAATCAGTTATTGTAGTTTACTTTCTAGCTTGCAATTCAAGTTGTTATACTTTATTTAGATATTTTTTAAAAATATCTAAATCTTCTGTTTTAAATTCATTTGTTGTTTGTTATTCAAAAAAAGTTATCCAATTTTGTAAAGATTTGATTGCATCAACGAAAGATACTGGTAATAGTTTGAAATCCTCTTCAAAATCATTATTTTCATCATCATCTACCCTTTCTTAAACCAATTTTATGATCTCATTATCATTTAAAAGATCTTCAGTTAGAATTTTTTTTAAATCTTGAAAGAAATCATCAATTGCATTTTTTAATGGAGAAGTACAAGGGTCATCAAATTCATCAATTATTTGATTGATTCTTGCTATTTTCATATCCATTGTCTCTTGATGAGCCCATATTGCATTATTTATATTTTCATCAGTTGAAGAAGGCAATATTCTGGTTTTATTTTAACAATTATGGATTGTTTCTTGAGTTACATTATGCTATGTATTTGCTAAATATTTAATAACTTCTTTGATATTAATTTTCTCCTTATTAATATCTTTACCTTCTTTAAAGAGTTGCAATATATAACGACAATAATATCATTTATAGTGATTTTTAAAACTTGCAATAATCCCGACATCAGAGAGGTTGAAAGTGGCTTGTGATATTTGGTGGTAAAAAGATCACTTCAATATGTATAAGCTGGAGTTAATGAGTATCTGATAGAGTAGAATTGTGTCTTCTTGATCTTGAAACTTGATTTCCTTTAAAAAAAATACAAATTCAATAAGTTTTTGTAGTTTATTTTTAAATTTAAAAAAAAAATTTAACTTACCACGTCTTTTTAAAGTAAAACCCAAAATAGAATCTGAATCTGGAGTAGAATCTAAACCTGAAGTAGAATCTAAACTCGAAGTATTATCTTTATCTTGTAAACAATAATTTAGGTCAAAGTGTAATGGAGTATTATCAATTAAGAGTAAAATTTTTTTATTTTGTACTCTAAAATGCCTATCTATATTAAGAAGTATTTCTTCAAATAATCTTGAATTCATCCATGCCTTAGGATTTTCATGGTAATGAACTGGAAAACGGTCTAAATTAATATGTAGAAGAGGTCTCAGATACTTTGATGTACTAATCACCTATAGCTTAAGTTTGTCAGTTTTCGTAGCATTTACATCTAAAAGGACAGTAATTCGTATTTTATCCTTTTTTGCCAAAGAACTAGTTTGGTGAAAAGTGTTTGATTCAGAGACATTCTATAACAAAGATCTGTTTTATCAATATTATATATTTAATCCAAAGAATATTGGCTTAATAATTGACGGAGTTTAATTTTCTCTTCTGAAAGGGATGCTATCAGTACACTTTCTGATTCATTATTTCTTTTTTTAAATCTATCTAACCAACTATTGGAAAAAACTAACTCATCTTCTTATATATTAAATGCATTAGTAAAAAATCTTGCCTTTTTCTTTATCAATAAATCCATTAAAATGACACCACCTGCTGTTATATTTTTTACCCACAAGTTCATAGTATTGTCAAAAAATGAAAATTTGACCTCTCTATTTTGAAGATTTCTCTAGAGCCTTCGATTTCTATTGCAGCATTCTATTTTTCATTATTTGTTAATATCTTTGTTATGGTACTACAATCAATATTTAATGTCAGGTTTTTTTCATTAAAATGTTTTGCAATTTTATGATGTTTTTTGTTACTATTTTTTTTTGCCACTCATAAATTTCATGTTTAAGACTGATACTTATAGCAGAATATTGTTTAGGTTAGCCAGAAGATTGTTTGAATCAGTCAGAAGGTATTTACAAACTCGTTTAATAAAATAAACCGTTAGAAGTTATTTTGAAAAGGAAGAGACCAGAAAGGCACAAAAAAAATTTGTATCATATTGTATGTAAATGTTATTTGTGTAAAACTTATTAATAAAAAGTACCACTATGAAAAGAATATGAAAACTTTCGTTAAAATTATCAAAGAAAAATGTCAGTTGCTCTAATGGAAAGGTGTTTGTATGCAATATTTTTTCACAACATAATACTATATATAAATTTGATGTGGAAGGATTCAGAACTATATTATTTTAATGTAGCATGAGGATGATTATGGTATAGTATAAATCAAATATCTTATTTAAAAAAAAAATCTGATCAGATATATTTAGCTATAAGAACTGACAAACCATTTTCTTTTCATAAAAAAAGTGAGCTTATTATACAAAATGAAGGACAACAGGTGAAAAAGCATGGTTTTTTTTAATAAACCGATATATTAATGATTACGTGATTTTTTTTTGATCAAATTCTAATTGAAAAATTTCTTTATCAAAAGATAATCATATCAGATATTAAATCAACCTATCTGAAAGGTTCACCGAAGAGTTTAGGTGATTTTTTTCATCTGTTCAAGGGTTCAAGTCCAACCGCTTTATCACATAGACTTTTTTTTGTGTGAAAAAAAATTTCATTAAAAAGTATTGACAATATCAATATTTCTGCTTCGAAATTAAACTAAGACAATACCCTTCTATTTTCTAGTGTTACATTTTTAAGTTAAAAGGTGTTACATTTCGTATTACTATAAATTACTAGCCAATTAGATCTTTTTAATATAAGCCAATCAGAAAATTAAGACTGTAGAAAAGTTTAATTACTATTAAAAATGATTTGTAGTTTTAAATTATATGGTGATAGTGACTATAACTAATTTGTGACTATATAGAGATAAATTAATAAGCTTAAAGTTCGTTTTGCAAAAATAGGTTCTTATATAAAGGTGTGACTGTATAGGGTATGACAGTATAGGGGTCTGACTGTACTTATATATTAATAAATAATTTGTTAGAGTAGTAAAATTTTTTAAAAAAATTTTTAAATTCAAATGATGCAAAATCAATTGTTTGATATAAAAAATATAACGGCAAAATATATTTTTTTAAAAAAAATCTTATTTTATTCTCCCTTCCACCCCTTGGACACTCACTCTTTATATAGTTTTATGTTACATAAATTGATTTAGAATTACGTAAACAATAATATCACGTTGTTTGCAAAAAAAATCTATTTATAGCGTTGCAATACAATATTACAATATATTATTACATTACAATAATGTATTATAATATTACGTTTTAATATTAAATATTATAATATATATATATAATTACCGGGATCCTTTTCCTAATTAATGTAATTAAGTTTATTAGTTTATTACTATATTAAAAGATTAAAATATTATATTGTATAACTGCTATATCAATAGATTATGTTAATAAATAATATTTATATTATAAAATAAATTTACATACTAAAACTGAAAATATCTAGCATCATATGATCGTGTTATTTACTATAAGAGTTAAAGCCACATTTTAATCCTTTATTACATTATTCCATTTCTCTCGTATTAAAAATTAAAAATATAATAATAGCTAAAGAAACTATTTCACTCTCACCTTTAAGTGATCAAAATAATGAAAGAGAAGTTAATAATCTAACTGAACCTTTTGATAAACCCTCAAACAAATATTCTAAAAATTATGAAACAAAAAATAGTATTAAAAAATTAAAAATACTTGATAAAACTGACAAACTTAAAAGTTGGATATAAAAATGGTGTGATCCAGTGTTACTTAATAATGGAAAAACTGGTGCTGAATGTATAGTTAAAATAATAGATAAAAGTTGTATAAATGGCTTTATTTAAGTGGAAATTCAACAAGTAATCTCATTTCATATCTTGCGAAAACTCATCAAATTACTGAAAATACAAAAATAGAAGGAAAACTTGTATATTTAGTATATTTATTTTTCTGTTATTATTAAAAATCATTATAATTAACATTTTAATTTTTAAAAAAAAGTTTAAATTACTATTACTAATATAGTAAGAACATATAAAGAAGCTAAGCAAAAAGAGTTAAGGCAATCACTTGTTAATTGGATTATTGTTGATTCAATTTCACTTAGATTTGTCTAAAATGAAATGTTTTGAAAATTTCTACATAATCTAGATCCTATATTTGTAATGCCTAATGTCAAATTGATAAAACAGATTATTTATAGAGCATATAATCATACATATCCTTTAATTGTTGAATATATTAAAAAGTATGCTATTTCAGTCAATTTAACTACTGACCTTTGGATTTCTCGAAATCATCAAAGATATATTGGAGTTAAATGTTACTTTCTAGATGAAGATTTTAAATTATATGAACTTGTTCTTACTATTTCAAATATTCGTTATCCATATAATGCAACATATATTAGTAATACTTTACTTGAGATATTGGATCTATAGATGTTAAGAGAAAAAGTCAATGCAATTATAACAGATAATGGTCCAAATATGAAAAAGGTGATAAAAGACATGAATATAATTTCTAAAAATATAACCTGACAGCCATGTACTGCTCATACCTTACAGTTAGTTATTAGAAAAGAACTTGCATGTGTAAAACTACTTGTATTAAAGGCAAAAAGACTTATTGATTTTTTTATGTGATCTAAATAGTCAGAAAGATTGAAAAATATTCAAATATCTTCTATTCAAATAGAAAATAAAATAGTAAGTAATAACTAAAAATATTAAAAATGTGTATTTATTTATTTTATTATTATATTTATAAAAATTTTTTTTAGAAACCTGGTAAAACAAGTACATATTTACGTCATTGCATTGCTGATGTTATAACATTATGGAACTCTAGTTATTTAGCATGAAAAAGGTTGTTAGAAATTAAATTATATATTGATATTTTAGTAATAACACTACCTCTTACTAATGATTATGATTCAAAAAAGATGGTCAATGCCTGATTAAAATTATGTTAACTAAAGATGAATGGGAATTATTAAGTAAATTATGTCGAATTTTAAAAGATTTGCTGATGCTACAGATTACTTAAGAGAAAGTAAATATGCAACTCATAGTATTATAAGTCTTATATTGAAAGAAATAAAAAATCTTATAAAACTAATAAACGAAAATAATAGTAATAATATGAATAATATAAGAGAAATTGCTAATGTTTTGAAGGAGATTAAGAAGAAGAAGGAGAACATAAAGAATATAGAGAATATAGAGAAGAACAAATAGAACATGAAGATAATATACCTCAAGCATCAAGAAAAAAATTAAATTTAAATAATTCATTAGTAATTACTGGAATGTTAGAAAAAGTAATAGTTAATTTATATAATGCAATGAAATTATATTGGAATAATGAAAAAAGTGAGACTCTTATTTTAGCATTACTTGATCCTCAAATTAAATCTTTTAAATTTATTGATGAAGAAATTCGCAACAAAACAAAAAAACTATTGAAAATTAAATATAATGAACTTAAAATTAATACTTCATCAACTAATAATACTACTATTATAATAACAACATCAGAACCATCCATATTTTTGATTTTTGAATGACGTTTATTATAACATGATAATAAAATAACTATGTACTTATCTTTGCCTGAAATAAGCCTCAACTCTAATCCTTTTATTTGGTTATATAATAATAAGAAACGACTTTCAATTCTTTCAAAGTTAGCCCAAATTTACCTTCCTATTCCAGCAACATCTACTTCAAGTAAAAGGTTATTTAGTAGTACAGAAAATTTATTAACTGCTAAAAGAATATGACTGAATCTAAAATTATTCAATAGACTTATGTTTTTAAAAAAAAATGCATATCTTGTTAAAAATATTCACCCTAATTCTACAAATTAATTTTTTCAATAGTTTTTGCTTTTATTATGATAGTTACAATAATATTTTATATTTAGATTATATGTTATAAAGTGAAATTATAAATAAAATATCATTATTCATAAAATATTTAGAATTTTTTATTTATAAAAAACACAAATTTGCGAATATTCATAAATTATATACTATTCATATGACTTACAGATCATTTATGAATATTTGATAAATTATCTGTGAATTATTTATTTGATTTTTTACAAATATATAATAGTTATTTGGATGATTTTTTTAGTTAATGAATATCCACCTATAATCATGAATTATTTGAATCATTTTACTATTCAAGACGTTCTATCTCCCTATTGAGATTTTGGATTTCTTACTTACATCAGAAATAATCTCACTCCAGTTGATTAATTTGTCTCTCATTCTGACGATTACTATCAATTTCTATTTGTAATTCACTACGAAGATGATAGTTCTCCTCCTCCAGCTCAGCTTTATATTCTTCACATGTTCTTCTCTGTCTTGGATGAGGCCTCTGAAATGTCATTCTTTTTTATGATTATAAAAGAAAATATGAGAACCTTTGATTTATATAGATCCTCAAAAAATGCATGATCTTGACTGAATCTTATTTTACGTGCAATTTTTTCTTATATTCATTCGAAAAAAATATTCTATTAGGATAGGTTATCTGAATATATTATTAGAATAAGTTGTCTCTTACAGATCGATAGATCAAGGAAAGATAAATTTACGTGCTAATATCACGAATTGTATCACATCTGGTAGATCAATTACTCTGATATCATATGCATATTACATTTTGTAATACTGATCACTTTTGTCAGCATTAATAAATGATCACATTCTCACAGTACAAATAATAAATTTTTTACTAATTTATTTTCCAATTGCTTATCTTCTAATTTTGTAACTTTAGTCTTAAACTCAATATTCTCAGCTATAATTTTATCATTCTCAGCCTTAATTTTAACATTCTCAATCTCAAACTTGATAATGCATTGTCTCAATGAATTGGTCATATCTATTTTAGATTGCATGCTTGCATAATGTAGTATTAGTGTGTTAATATTTAAAAATAAAAAATTATGTGTTTTCTGAGACTACGCGGTCCTGCAAATTTGCCAAGAAAATTTTTATTATCCAATGCATATCCTACGTAAAAAAAATACAGATGAATATGTAAAAATAATTGGCCACCAGGGCATATTATTGATATAGGAAAAATAAAATACAAATTTTACTACAATATAATCCTATCTAATCAGAATCTACATTTGAATTATCTTTATTTCTTTTGGATCTAACAGAGGTTGCATTAAGTAGTAAAGATATATTAACTATTAGAATATTCTGTAGAATTAGCAAAGTCTTCATAAAATTTGTTACAGTAGATGAATCTGATTATTGCATAGGGATTTCTGCTTCGTAAAGATGGTAATAATGATGCACATTTTTCACATCCCTAATAAGAATATTTAAACACATTATTCGTTCAACAACTTGCATTCCAATAATTCTGAATTCATCTTTATCTGATCCAGATAATTTACGAGTTCAATACATCTCATCATTAGCTTCATACCATAATTTTATTTCGTCATCTTTTTCCTTTTGTAGTATGCAAGACAAAGTGTTATAGATGAGAGACAAAACCCCTTAATAATAGTCGAAACTTAGACGAAACTATATTAAAATCATAATAAGAGATACGATAAAACCCATTCGATATGATGAAAGTCGAAACTGTTAAAACTATATTAAAAACATAAAAAAGGGTATGATAAAATTATTTTGAGGAGGTTTCGGCAGGCATCTATATAAAGCGTGAACACTTAACATATATGAGCTCATATTTTTTTTCATCATGCTTCATCACAAATATGATATCTAGCCATCTCCCTGTTTGCCCTTTGCCTTTTATATCTATACTAACTGAACTTTAACGTTTAACACTAAAAGATAATAATATTAATATTAGTCTAGAAGTTTTTGCAATACTAATTTTCCTAATTATATTATTACTTACGTGTTAATATAAGACAACCTTTCTAAAGGAAGACCTTTTAATATAGCCTGAATAGCAGGTACTATTATGTTAGTTAAATAAGTACCTTCATTTTGTGATTTCGCGAATTCAAAGCTAAATGTAAGATTATTCCATAAATTATTTAGAGAACTCAAAATTCTTGATGTGATATCTGCAAATTTCTCATCTGATTCTTTTCACTTTCTATTATGTGAAAGTTTTTGTAATAAAATGCTCATATTACTTTCAGCAAAGTTAACTACAAATTCTTCACATTTTTTCTATATAATTCGTGAAAGAGATGAAGGAACTATATTCTCTACTGGTTTCTAATAATAGCATAAATTAAAATGATGTTTAGATCGAAAAAATCATGTGATATTGTGAAAAAGATTCACGCACTTTTTGTCAAGAAAAAAATTTTACCATAAAAGATTTTCTTAGCTATTCTGATAATTTCTGTATCAGATCTGAATCATCGCTAATTACTTGGTTGGCTAGAGGATCTTTCTAAGTTAAGTCAGAAATAGATACTTTATTTACACCTGAAAACAAATGCTGGTAAAGCTGTAACGTATTTTTCTGAGTTTACCCTTCAGTGCCTTGATATTTTTTTTTGATTTTATCTGATGTAAGAGGTCTTTCTCCATTTGTTTTTACTGTGCCAATATTACGTAAATTACAGACTGTTTTAAAGCCAATTTCAAACTAATGCAGACATACTATTAATTAGCTCAGGCATATATATTTAAAAAATTATTAAAAGTGCATGCGCTGTCAAATTAAAATAAAGCCATATTCTCGCATAGTTAGCTACTCTAACACTCAAATAAAGACTTTATGTGATACTAAAATAACCACATTGAATTAAGCATATAGTTATAGCCTAACTACCTTTCTCACTGTCAAAGAAAAAATCCTGTGAGTGGGCTAATAGGATATTTAGTCTATTATGCTTTCTCTCTCAGAATAGTATTACTGTCTGCGTTATTTATTACTTAATAAATCCTCTATTTACTTAAAGCTTTGATATCTTACCTCTGGTAGAATTTTGAGAAGAGTAATATGATATAAAGAACCTTATTCATATTGATTTTCACAAATGTTACAGCCCGCTCAATAATACTTTTTAGCTCATTTTAAGTTATTCAGGGATTTTCTTCGATTCTTTGGTAAATAACAGATCTAGTGGTAATGTTCTTTTCCTCAGCATTTGACAAGAAATTATAAATTTTAGTGTATAAATCAACAGGCATGATAAAAATAAAAGAATCTACAAGGCATAATAATTTCACTATACTACCTTTTAAATGACTCCATTTACTTCCCTTTAGGTTTGCATTCATGTTGAGAAAGAAACAGGAGAATATGCAACAAACCTTTACGTCAAACTTTTGTGTTAGAAAATAAAGGTATATGAAATGTGCATTAAAGATCTTGATATTTAGAATGGTATTGGGGATAATGCATATATGAACTTTTTCGCTTACTCAACTGCAGAAAGACCTGGAAATATTATATAGACATTATTCTACTCAAAATATTCTGTCCTTTCAAAACAAATATACATATTAATAAATGCTATTTTGCTAAATCTTATTCTGCTAAATATTGTAAGGAAAAAATTCAAAATATTTTGGGAATTATTTTATCACACAAGTATAGTTTCACAGATGATTTATGGAGTATTACCTATTACATCATATACACTTTAATGAGAATCGAAAACGTGCTAATTTATATTGTATACGCTAATATGCATTGTGACTAGACAATATATTATTTTATTAAGATAATATTCAGGATCTGGGTCAAGGACTGATCTGGAAATTCGGCAGGTGATACATTTCATGCATAGCACCTTCAACTAATTTTACTAGGTGATTATGTATGCAGATTATATAGCTATCATTTTGCAAAATAATAAAGTATAAGCTATGTTTGGCTAAATATAATTAAGATACATAATACTAATATTTGGTTGAAAGATATTAAGTCTATTTTCTTCTTGCATTTGTCCACACAAAATCGAAATATGCTTCAGCAAAATCACCTAAAGTAGTCCTGCTAGAAATATTAGATATATTTGATCGATCATTCTAAAGACTTCTACTCTCAGATGCACTTACACTATGTTACCTGATAGGTGAAATACAAGCTGACTCGAAATTTGAAGTACTTGATATAGTATTTTTTGCTACAATTGCTTTAGATTGTACATAATTTTCATAGCTAGCTATGAAATTTGCATCATGATCATATGATACTGATGCCAACTTATCCTTTCTGATTGTGAAGTAGATTAGGAGAAAAGCTATAGACGAAGACGATTAATTTTAACCTCTTCTTTTAATATGTATAGTTTATATTGCCAGATCTGAAATTTTCTTCAATTAATAGATTAGAGAATTTTTTTTCTTCTCGCATGATTATTCAAAATAGTATTTCCAGAAATACATCTCTTCAAGTAGCTATCATGATAGATACGAGAGTTATAGTCAGTTCCAGGTATGAAAATTAAGGAGTCATATATATTACAATAAATATAATCAGTTGGTTGACCAGTGTAGACTTTTTCATTTTCATAAAGCTTTTCACACATTATAATATATCTATTCTTAAAAAGGATTCTTAGATTCTCTTCAAGTATTTTTTTAAATTG